AGAGGAGTGTGTGCAGTATGTACAGTTGTGGGCGGGCAAAAGGTATTTTTTTTTTTTTGACTTATCTCTTTTAACCGTGGAGGGAGCATACGGCACAATGTTGTGGCATTTACTTTGATACCAATGATTTTGGCGTGACTCACGTGCTTTGTTTCGTTTTTTTTTTTTTTTTTTTTTTTTTTTTTGCTATTTGTGTTGTTTTTCTCTCTCTCCTGTCGCGATTCCGGAGGGGCGGCGTTTATATTTCTTTCCCGTCGTTCTTGTTTGCTAGTTGTTGTTGTTGTTTTTTTGTGGGGTTTTTATTTTTTCTTTTTTTTTTTTGCTTACGTCGTCCTTTTGGCTATTTAAACTTTCTTTTTTTTTTATTTACCCCTCCCTTATTTTTCCACTTGCGCCTTACATTTGTTTGCCTCTTCTCTCACTCTCCGTTGCCCACTTCTCGCCCTTGGCCAGCGCCAGGGGAGGCACGGGGACACGCCACCATAGCAAGGAGGATTAATTAGGGCAGGGAGAGAGTGTGAGATTTGAAGGGAGAATGTGTATTCGCTTTTGCCGTCTTGTGCAGGTGTTTCGACTGCGGGGTTCGCCCATCGTCATTTCGGCAGCACAGCTCAATCAGCGGAATTTGCTCTCATCGTTGTCGTCATCTTCCACAGTCAGTGAGGGTGGTCACCACATACGGGAAGGGGCCATGCATCAGCCCGGGGAATCTGGACAACAGGCAGGCTCAAGCAGCACGATTGCCGGGAAGGAGACATGGTCGCAGTTTAGCGCGAAGATGCGGCACGGACGTCGTCGTATTCGAGTTATTGACGTGGCGGCCAAAATGTCTTACGAGTACCAGATTCTGCGAAAGATGTGTAAGCGCCGGCCATCGATGCGTCAATGGGCCGTGCGTGATGACTTCTGCGACATGCATCCCGGCGTTGTCGTCATGTCGCCATCGATGCAGGCAGCCTTCATGAAAGTCTTTCGGCTGAAGGATAAGGGTCTCATCCGCCAGTGCATGCGCGACATCATTCCAGTCATTGAGTACCGAAATCGCGAGGAGCCGGTGCGGCTGCAAGTAAATGCAGCCGAAATGATACCCGAGAACGAGCCGGACACACTGAATCAGAAGAAGCGGGAATTGTTTGAGCGTCGTGAAAAGGGAGAGAACTTTGCAGAGCTTCGCTTACACGACAAGCGCTCACAGGCAAAACTTCGGTTTAAAATACGGCAACGTTTGCTGAAATTTCAACGGCAGTTAGCGGTGGCAAATGCGGTGGCGAGCCGCTCTGTCCTATACTCGGCGGATGATGCCATTGGGTACTTTCTCTTCCGTGGGGCGGCGATGTACGCGGGGATGCACCGTGTCTTCTTTGAGCTTAGCAAGCAGCTCCCACACTTTGTTCCCAAGACGATGTTGGACTTTGGCGCCGGTACCGGCACGGCGACACTTGTCGCGAAGGAGGTCTACGACCCCGGCGCCCTCGCCTACCCGCTGTACCGCTCGCTGCGGCAGACAATGCAAGGAAATGAGTCCTCCCGCATTCACCAACTGGCTGAGTTGCGCTATGATTTAAAACGACTTCAGCGTAACAACGCCGAGAAAAAGAAGGTACGTTTCATGGCTGTGGCAGCCCTGCTGGAGCGGGGCGAGGTGGACCCGGCGGAACTGCCAGAAGATTTGCGACGAGAAATTGCCGAGGTGGCGGCGGCAGCGGCAGCAGCCAAAAAAGAGCGCCTCTCGCGGGAGGCTCACGCGCGTCACCGCGACGTTGTGGATGGGACAGAGTGGGAGAGCGGGGATCCGCTTAACGTCGAACACGCGAACCTCGAGGACCCAAACGACGTCATGGATGGCGAGGGACACGATGAACTGCATGATGGCGGTAGTATACACAAAAAAACGTGGTGGGAACAATTTGTTGATCTGGAAAGCGAGACGGCGCAGCAGCGGGCGGCCAAACGTCTTCGACCTCTGCAGGAGGTGACTGCTGTTGAGCCCAGCCCTGGCATGATGGAGATTGGGACCATGGTGCTGCATGACGACGTGCCAAACGTGATTTGGAAGCGGTATTTACTTCCGGAAGATGAAGTGATCCAGCATGATCTCGTGGTGGCCGCCTACTCCCTCAGCGAAATCGCCACGGTGGAGAATCGTCGAAGAGTGGTGCAACAACTATGGAAGATGACAAAGGGTGTTCTTGTGCTTGTGGAGTTCGCCAACCTCAACAACTTTAACCTTCTCATGGAAGCACGGGATTGCCTCCTCGAGGAAAAGGATGTTGGTCTATGGGACTGGCAGCCCACCATAGTTGGCCCCTGTCCACATGAGAAGCGTTGCCCGTTAAGACACTGCAAGGCAGGAGTGAAGCGAAAACGCATGCGTGTATGCAGCACGGAAGCGCATTATCGAGCCACTTTTGTTGAGGTGTGGGCACGTCATATGCCCTTGAAGGTTGGAGTTGAACCAATCAGCTATTTGATTTTTGCGCGCAATGAACTTGTTCCTGAGCGAGCGCTTCGTCGGCAGGAGCAGATGAAGAAGGCAGAAGAGGCGAAACGTCAGGAAAGGGATGCAAAACAACGGGAGCTCCATGAAGCGTCACTTGCTGTAAAGGATGTTGTTTTTGAGCGGCTCAGTGATGAGGCGCTGCACCGCCCTGAGACGGGCGTGCCAACTCCCCTGCAGCACGCTCTTTCCACGGATAATGTGGAGCCGTTGACGCCACTGGCGGAAGCACTGCGGGATGGGGCGGTGAGCACGGGGGAGGTTGGGCACATGCCGACAGACGTGCCGCGTCTTGTCAAGACAAGTAACACACGTTACAACCGACTCATTTTCCCTCTTCAGATGCCTCCTGCAACCCACAAGTTTAATCGTGCCTTTGTCGACGCAGGGTATCAGCGGCAGCGTGCCATCACACCTGCAGAAATGCTTGTTGTACGCGCCGAGGTGGATCGAATGAGGGAGCGCGTGATGCGAATGGCGCCAAAGTACATGCGTGTGGTGCGTGACCCGCGGTGCCGCGGAAAAGTCCAGGCCGATTTCTGCACTCCAGATGGTGATCTCGTCACCGGTCGTGTGTATCGGCGCTTTTACGGTGACCGCAACCGCGTGAGTGCCCACAGCACGATGCGGTGGCAGCATATTGGTGGGTGGAAGCTACTCAAGCGGCTCAAGCGGGGATCACTCTTCCCTCATGACGTTCCTCTTTATGCCGTCACGAAGCATCCGCAGGTGGAATTCCCCAACACACTGCTTGATGCGCGTCACTCAATAGTGGAGCAGACAGCGATGCAGCACAATGACCCGTTGTCGCTGGTGGAAACACCAGATGACCAACTTGATCGCGAGGAGTTGCGTCTGAAGCGACGGGCGCAGCGAGATGCAGAGTTGCTGCAAAAAGTGGAGGGGAAGTTGGAGGAACTTTTTGGTGCAAAGGTCAAACAAGACACGGACTTGGGTAACGGTCGCATTGACTCCCGTCGCGAGATCACCGAGCAGGAGTGGGCGGACGCCGTGCGCCGCGCCAAAATTCGAACGGTGCAGCACACGAAGAATGCGGTGCCGTTTGCAGCGAAGCAGCGAGCAGCACAACGCGCCTTGCAGATGCGGCGGCGGAACATAAAACGCGAGATGGCGTCAAACAGACGAAGGTAGCGATTGATGCGCATTGCCTTCAAAAACATTTACATTCAAATTGACATGCGGTGGGCGGAGAAAAGAAAAACAAAGGTAAGGAAAAGATTAAAAAAAAAAAAAAAGGAGGGGGCGTGTTAATTTTATTTATTTTATTTATTTTTTGAGTGCACGGACAACGAGAAGGAAATAATGTCCCTCTGCGCTGGTGGTACCCCTTTTCTCTGTTTGTTTATTTGGCCCTTCCACACATCCCACATAAAAATGCCCACCTTTCTATTTTTCTGTTTGTATTTGGGGGAAAAGGGGGAATGAATTGGTCTTGTTTCCTTTTTATTCCTTCTTCATGCCTTTTTTTATGCTCACTCCATACACCCTGCGGCTGAAGGAAAATTAGCTGCTCCTTTTTGTTGTAGTTTTCTTGTGTTTGTGTGTTTCCCTCCCCTACCACCACGTCCCAAACACACACACACACACACACACAAATTAGACACTGAAGGAAATAGAAATACATTCATCTCTCACTTTCAGCGACTACATTTATATATATTTATATTTATATTTATATTTATATATACATTCTCTTTCTTAAATGGGCAACTCTACCAATGTGGTTTACCACATTCGTGTGTTGTTGCTGACGGTGGCGTTTCTCACTGGAGCTTTCATCTTTGCGGATTCCATGCTTTCCAAGAAGGTGTTGCTGTCGAATATGTCGACCGAAGTTTGTCGTGGAATGCGGACCGTGGACCAAGTTGTGATTCTTCTAATTGATGCGTTGCGGCCAGACTTTGCCTTGCCGGCGCTCTCTGAGTATTACTCCACCGGAAATGACTGCAACGCCTCCACCACGCGCGGCGTGGGTGTCTTCCAAAGACGCAACACGACGTTAACATATGTTGAAGGCAAATTGAAAGACATGACACATCCATCGCACGGCTTTTTCTTTTTGGCGGATACGCCCACCGTGACGTCCCAACGGATGAAAGCAATGATGACAGGGACGGTGCCGGCATTTTTTGAGCTGAAGGCAAACCTCAACACGGAAGCCGTAGAAAGTGACAGTTTGTTGCATCAGTTGCGCCGCCGCTCGATTCTCCTTGGCGACGACACTTGGCTGAATATGTTTCCCGACGACGACGACGACACGACGCCGTGGAAGCGCACCCACGCCAGTCCGCCGTACAACATCTCGGATTTTGAAACGAATGACAACAATGTGACGAAAAATATACTGCCAACGCTTCTGTCGGAAACATTGGAGAAGGCGCCGTCGGATTACGCGAAGCTTATCATTGGCCACTACTTGGGTGTTGATCACGTTGGCCATCGTCATCACGCCGACCACCCTGAAATGGATCGGGCACTTGCACGAATCGACGCGATGGTCCATAATTTGACGCACTTCATGCGTCATCAACGCAAAACGCGCATGAGAACGTTGCTGCTTCTCTTTGGGGACCATGGCATGACAAACGCCGGTGATCACGGCGGAGATCTTTCAGGAGATGAGACGTC